TTTTATTTATTTTTTTATCTACAAAAAGAATACCCCATTAGGAACCTTGTATTAAATTTTCAAGTTTTTTTGGTCGTCCAACATTTTTTTACCGGCACTTCAAAAAAAAATTCTCATAAAAATCGAAAATATCAGTGGTCTATACATAACTCTTAAAAAATCAACAATTTTTGAAAATGAAAATGAAAATAAAAATGAAAATTTCAAGTATTTACAGTGATTAGTTTTTGAATTACAACCATATATAAAAAAATAGATTTGGTCGAAAACCGGTTTTGCGTAAAATTCCCGTTTTCTGTCATTTTTTTTTTTGTGTTTCTCGATTTTTTTGAAAACTATTGGAAAATGTTTACTTTTGACCTATATAATGCACCAAGGATATTCACTTTTACATCGGAAACCAACCCCAAAGTTTGAAATTGAAGCATTATTTCGACTAGTTATGCTGTACACAGACACAAAAAAAACAAAACAAAAAACACACATTATTGTAAAATCTATACATTCATCACTCCGTTCAGAATCTAAAATAAATTCATCTAGATGAAAAAAAAATTTACAAGTTTCTGTCAGATGACCGAAATAGTATAATGAATTAATGAATTACTCGTACTCGACTAATCCGAATGATACAATTCAATTAATTCAAATTTGAAATGATTCGAATCGTTTGAACGGCTGATAAATGACAATTCCCAAATCCCAATATGCCCATCTTTATAACTTATCATTAATTCTATATTTATCATGCAATTTAGATACATAATATTCTGTGATTTAGTTCTTATCACGTGATTACACTTATCAACTATATTTAATATCAGGAGAAGAACTGACCGATTTCCGCTACGTTATGAGAACACTGATATTTGGCGTCCTTGAACTGGACATAACATGTTGGCTAACCTGTCACATTGTCCGTCGGACATGAGTGATTTGTATTTTGTTGTAAAATTTGATTATTTTTGTGTATCATAAAATCATTTGTATTTGTCCAAATTTTTATTATTATTGTCGTGCTCCGGGTCCGAACGCATAAAGCTCTGGCGAGTGTTCTACTATTCTAATGTAAAAATGTCCGTCATGTGCCTACTAGAGGGTTCCGAAAGCACGCCGCGTTATTAGCAGGCGCACCGAAGTTGTCCGATCTAAGCTCGCCGCCGCCGCCGCCACCGTGTCCGCCGCCAAATCGCCGAAGGCCTAACACCGAAGTCTGCTACTGGAGTGAAGGGTGTCCTGGGCAGGTGTTTCAAGCTGGATCATATTGTCCTGTGAGAAGATGGCCTACCACAGTGCCATTCACGGAAAGACATAGTCGGCTGAGGAATGTCCTCTGCTATCTCTCACGGGACACCAAACACAGGACGATATCGTCCCATCCTGGACTTCGTATCCATTTAAAGCCGACTCAAAGTATGTAGATAGTATCTAATTTCACTTGAGTCACCTGTGGCTTTCAGCCATTTAAACTCTAATTCTGTATTGCCTTTATAATTTATCCATTTATATATTCTTCCTTGTTTGTCCACTTTCTGGTTGTTCAATACTTCAATCTCTGTCTGGTGAGAGTGTTATGTGATATTTTCTTGTTGTGAAAGTGTTGGTCTAGTAAGTTAATCTTATATTGAAGGGTTTATAACGATGTTATTCAGAGTGCATTCAAAATCAGTTGCTCGATTTATTATAACATAATCTATGACATACGTGTTCTCTCAACTTTGAATATTGTTTTTGTACACCCACTGGTAGTACATGTATAATATACTCTTTTTTATTTTTAAGTCTGCCAATAACTTCAATTTATCAATTAATTAAACATGAGTACTTAGCCGGCAGCAGTAGGTGAAGTATTATAATAATTAATACTAATGTAATATTTCATTTTGTTTCTTAAAGAAATGAATGAATAAGGAATTGTGATTGAGATTTTCAATCTTTTAGTCTAAAACARTTAATTAGAGTAGAAGTGAATTGAATTAATTCTGTGGACTKTTTTACTGCACAAATAGGTTAGATAACTTGCAATATTATATTTAAATAGTTATTGGTTATTTTTCATTTTTTATTTTATTACCTACCTGTGTTCATCTTAGTTTTATAAAATTAATATTATTATTTTTATTAATAATTGTAAAATTTGTTTAATATTATTTATAGAATTTATTAACAAATCATAAATATGGCAGATTCTGGAAACAGTGATAGTGATACAGATATACATGTGTATAAGTCTCAGAAATCAAATGTTTGTATCGTAAAAGTGAAATTCATAATTTTATGTTTTCAACTATATTATTTGTTTTTTTTTTTTAGATTATTGAAAGTGATGAAGAAAGTTCATCCAGTAGTTCTAGTGGCGAATCAGATAAATGTCCAATATGTCTCACTCGACTAGGACAACAAGATTTAGCTTCTCCAAATTCTTGTTTACATACTTTTTGTTTAAACTGTCTAACTGAATGGGCAAAAGTAAAATATATTAATTGGAATAAGAAAGTAATATTTATTAATTATTTATTATTCTCGATTTTCTATTTTAACAGAATGCGAAGACTTGTCCCATAGATCGTTTGGATTTCAAATTCATAATTGTACGGAGTGTTGATGGACAGTTATTGCAGAAAATTGATATAAGCCTTAAAAATGAAGTGGAAAAACTTCCCACAAATTTTGATGACTTAACTTACTGTGAGGTAAGTTTTAGTTTTTTATGTTATTGGCAATTACTAAATGCATTTATACAGTAATTATTAATATTGGAAATACATAAATATTTTAAGATTTGCCATCTAAGCCACCGAGAAGATGAGATGCTTTTGTGCGATATTTGCGACTGTGGATATCATATGGACTGCCTTAATCCACCTATTTATACAGTACCGTTAGAAGAATGGTATTGTCCTCAATGTGAAGGAAGAGAAGAGGTTAGCTTTATATTCAATTAACACTTAGCTAACAGATATTATTAAGATTTTCTATAATTTTGTGTAACATACAATTAAGTTATCACTTATTATCTATTAAATCAAAATATTTATAAATGTATATTTGTGTTTGATCCAATAGCAAAGTGATAATGACATAGATCGCGAAGAAGTAATTGATTTATTAAATGATCTAAATGATGATGAACAATTACCTAGACCAAGGCAGACAAGAATACGATTACAACAACGTTTGGTTCCACGAACAAGAGCTAGTGAAAGAGTACGAATGAATACTCAACGACTTCGACAAAATGTAATGGTTTATAATATCAAGCATAATAACAATAAACAGAATATTAAAATAATTATAACATGTGTATAGGCTACTGAAAGGGGAGTTGTACAAACAGCTTCTAGTGGAAAAAGAACAAAGAAATATTCAAAAAGAAAAGTCAGGGTTAAAAATTGGAATAAAAAAGTAACTAAAATATTTATTTTGCAAAAAGTATTAAATGAGTTTATTAACATTATTTATGTTTGTTGTTTTTTATTTTAAGGGTAATAAATCTGTTAGAAAAAAGAAGACACTAATAGCTGAAAAATTGAGCATGTGTTCATCAAGATCAAGTAAAAACTCTTTTGGTGATAATAACTCATTGGGTACTTCGTCAAGTTTTATAGATCATACATCTTTAAGTATATTCGGAAACCCTCATGAATTTGATTATGTATCTGTAGAGTACGTAATTGATACTTGCATTTTCCTGAATCAATATAATATTTAAAAATTTTTTACATTTTAGGTCCGAAGAAGAACGAGACATAGGTGGTGATGGGCCTTTAAATATGTCAACAATGTCTCGAATACGTATTTCAACCACTGATTTGATCTCTCGGAAAGAAATAAGTGAAATTTTACGTCGGCCAGTACGTAGAAATATTAACATATCACATAATACTGATTCAATCAATATTTTGGACAATATATTGAATGTACAAGAAAAACAGTTTAAAAAGAAAACTATTGAAAATGAAATGCAGAATATTGATAAACACATCACTCAAGCTCCAATGTATTCAGATCATAGAACTGACAGGAACTCTGATAATGTTGGTAATTATTCATCAAATCGCAATAATAATAGAAATTATTCAAGAAACAATGATCAACAATACAGTAATGCTGGAAGTTCAAGTTCATATGAAGAATCTCAATTGACTAATGAACCAAATTTTAGTGAAAATCAACCAGTCAATCCTTTTCCTTTTAGAAACTCTGGCCCTATCAAGTTTCGTATGAACGTTGCAAAAATGGGTGAAAGAAAACATCCTCGGACTCCTCCTAAGGCAGTCACTACTGAATACAATGTAGAAGAAAAAAGTGGCCCTAGTACTCAGGCAGAAGAATCTTTTAAAGCACTCGAACCACCACCTGATCCACCAGCTTTATTGTTAGGTATTAATTTGGATGATGACGAAGCTGATAATCTTATAATTGATGATAAAGATTATTATGATCCTGAAAATCCAAGTGATAATGATGAAGAAACAGAGATAACTAGACAAACTGGAACTGATTATATGCAATCGCCGACATATGGTGGTTACATGGAACAAGTAGAGAACAGATCTATACCACATATACCTATTTCCAATAGTAATAATATATTACGTCCAGAGGATGATGGAATGTCTTCAGAAGAAGATGAAAAGGAAATTAATGATGATTGTCCAAATATATCATTATATTCATCTACTAGTCTTAAAATATCTAATTCACCCAAAGAATATGGACCTTTTTTGGAACATGAAAATGGCAAAAATGATAAATTAAGTGGAGATGCGGAATTACAGTTTATTCCTATGCCACCTGTTAGTCCAGAAATAGACTTATCTGAACATGAAACTAGTCCAAAATCTGATGAAGATGAATGTTTTGAAAGCATTGTAGTTGATGATGATACAAAATTATCATCTCCAAAAACAGATAATAAATGTGAAAATATTGACAACACTGATGAAGATGAAAATAAATCAAATTCTGGTGACGATGTAATTGATGTTATTAATGAGATTCACTCAGACATGGAACGCGAGAGCAAAACATCTAAAGTATTAGAAATGAATCAAGAATCTGATATAATAGACCTTGAACACGATGATACCATTGGACCTATAAATGATGACACAGCCATAGATCAAGAAAACATAAATTTGACTGGAGATGCTGCATCTGATGTATCATGTACAACATTAAATAGTTTAGACACTGATAACCAACAGGTAGAAGCAAGAAACTTAAACTTTGATCCAATATCAGATTCAGAAGAAGAAAAGAAAAAAACTAAGAGTCAATCAAATAATTCTAATAGTAGTCGAATAAAAGATAAACTGTCGAATGGTAAAAATGAGATGGCAACATTTGCACCCAAAGGAAACAAAGACAAAGAAAAAGATAAAGATAGCAAAAATAAGGTAAAAGAAAAAGAGTCTGAGAAAGAATCTGTGYCATGGAAAAAATTATCGAAAAATTCCAAGGATAGAATCTATCGTTATGGAAAAGGAAAAGAAAAATTAGCTGAAGATAACAATCGTAAAGAGAAAAAACAGAAAAGAAAAGAAATAGAATTATATGATGTTCGAAAAGTACTTGAAGATAGACCTAGACGAAAAAAAGATAAATTTGGAAGAGATTTATCTAAATCTAGTCGTAGTGATTCAGACTCTATAGACCGAAGTCGACGTAGGAAACGTAAAAGAAGTCGTTCTAAGCAGCGAAAACGGTCTATTTCATCTAGTAAGCCTAGAAGTCGCAAACATTCTAGAAGTCGTTATCGTAGTGAATCTAAAAATAGACATCGTTCAAAAAGTAGACATCGTTCTAAAAGTAGACATCGTTCTAAAAGTAGACATCGTTCTAAAAGTAGACATCGTTCTAAAAGCAGACATCGTTCTAAAAGTAGACATCGCTCTAGAAGTAGACATCGATCAAGAAGCTTAAAACATTTAGGGAAGTATGAAAAGAATCAAGCAATAACAAAAGAACGTTATCGTTCTCCTGCTCTATATGAACAGCGTGAAGTGTCTCCATTATCAAAACGCCAAGCAAAAAAATCAAAAGAAATTTCAAGTATTTACTCTAAAATAGAAAAAGACTATGAGAGGAAACTATTGAAAAATGATAAAGTTTCTAAAAAAAAACTCAAGAAAAAATCCAAAGATTATCAGTTTTCATCCCCATCCCCAAGATCATTGTCACCTGGTATGCCGGTATGGCAATCACCAAGAGACCACATGAGTCCATGGTCACATACTGATGTTTCTCGTACACCGTCACCTACTTACACACGCCATGCTGCAGATATTGATATGAATTATACAACTAGAGATCAAGAATTTTCGGAGTATAATGACAACATTGCATTAAATAATTTAACAGTTATAGTGAAAAATGATACTTCAAAGAAATCTAAGCTCTCTAAACGGCATACCACTCGTCAAATAGCTGTTCCACCTGTCAAAGAAGTATTTGCTTCTGGAGACAATATATTAGTAAGTGTTAATTTCAACAAAGATGCAATATCCAAACCAAATTCCCAAGAGCCATTAAAACGTAAACGTCAAGAAACCTTACCAGCATTGATCTCCAAGAAATCAAAAAACACCAATGCTGTGGCAGTGCCAGACACTACTTCAACAAATCAAAAAACTTCCACAAAAAGAACTCCAAATCCAAAACCAAAATGGGTAAATCGTAAGAGAATTTCCAGGACAATTGAAGTGATAAATGCTAAGCCAGTTGCAATTATAGATTTAAACACTTCTCCATTTAGAGAAATAGAGATGTCTCCAAAGTCTGTAATTGTTTTAACTGACAGCGATGAAGACAAACAAGTTACAAAATCTGAGGCCAAAAAGGACAATAGTCCTGAAAAGTCTAAAGAAATTGTTATTGTTGAACAACAAAAACCTGTAGAAAAAAATGAAAACAGTACCCAAACAATATCAACTATCATGAGCGGTGGCCCAAAAACTCCTCCAGAACCAGTAATCACCATTTCTAAACCAGATAACATATCTACTAACAGTTGTGAATTCAATAGCCAAGATGAAGATCATACTGAACCTCTTGATGTACGAGGCCGAGGACCTAATACACCTCCAGAACCTCCTCGGTCTATAGATACTGTTGTAAGTGAGACAGCATATGATCCTTTTGAACCAACTAAATCAAATTCACCTAGCCCACCACCTAGAATTGATATGTTTGAAGATGATGATGATGATGATAATCATAATGATATATCTGCACAACCTTTGGAGGAGAATAAAACTACTGATAGCCAATCTTCTATTTCACCTCAAATAGTAGCTAAAACTATAACGCCTCCGTTTTTAGAGTCGCAAAGTTCAACTCAAACTGATAAATCTCCAGAAAAACTAACGGCCACCGCTTCAAATACATTAATCTTTACTAGTCCAGTAGCAGCCAAAACTCCTAGTCCTGTACAACCAACACCTACTGTCACTAACGCGGATGAAATAATTGATTTGGATGACAATGAAGATAGTCAAACATCAGCATTTGATAATGGTGCTGATTCACCTTATTCCCCTGGTGAAGGTTTTGTGGATGAAATGAAAGGTTCGTCACCTGACAGTCCTATTCCTCAAACCAAAAATGTTGTATCTACATCACAGAACCAAAATAAAAATGAAGCAAGAAGTAAATTGGACACTTTGCTCAGTATACTACCACAATCTAAACCTACAAATGTTTTTGATAACATAATGAAAATCAAGAATTTACAACCTCTTAAATTTTCTTCCAAATCAAAATGTAAGTGTATAATAATAACACTACTTGTATTACCGGTATCAATAATTATAGCTTATATTTCTTGACATTGTTATTCACTTTTAGATTCTAAACATAATACCTCCAATGAGGAAAGTGTTGATGATTTACCTGGATCAGCTGTTGAATTAGAATCAAAAAATAAGGTGATATTTTTAGATCATTTATATTGTAGAATATTGCTTCTATCATTTTAACTAGCGATTTCCAAAAATTGTAAAGTTTTGAAAAACAATCGCTAATTTGTATTATATATGTATAGTTCTTGGAAAAGCTTAATCGACAAGAACGAGTTATTGAGGAAGTGAAACTTGTGTTGAAGCCTCACTACAACAAAAAACATATAACGAAAGAACAGTACAAAGATATTATGAGGAAAGCTGTTCCTAAAGTAAGTCAAATTTTGTTGAAAAATAATTTCTCATTATTAACGTTTTGTTGTGTTTGTAGATCTGTCACAATAAGAGTGGTGAGATTAATCCACAGAAAATACATAGTCTAATTGAATTGTATGTGATCAAATATAGACATTCGCACAGAAAACAAGTACAACGGATCCCAAACAAGTGAATTGTTTTTTAAATTTATTTCATAATTGTGTATAACATACAGCATAGCTTATTTCTAATCACAAATAAATTTAAGCTGAAGGCTCAAAATCATTGTTACAAATTGATGGCAAAAAAAAATTTTATTTATACTTTGTGTTCTTACCATTGTGTATTAGTATTAATGTATTCTTATTATTCATCATTTTTGATAGGTATAAAAAAACCAGTGTTATTTTTGACCCGGTTTGTCTCATTGACTTTCAATTTATTATTTGTAAAATAACAACATATTAACTGTATATTTATTTATTGTGTTATGATTTTTGTACTACATATTTATGATAAGAATATAATATGTTTTATTATATTACTTTTATTATTGTACTGTATTGTAAATATCTTTAATCTAATTTGTATATTGAATTACAATACCTATTTATTTATTTAACTGAATACTTTATAGTGTAATCGTTTTATATTCAAAACTTTTTAGTCATACATATAGTGAAAAATATAAAATTAGTTGGGTAAAATTTTGAAATTTTAGATTTATTTATTTTAGCCCGATTATAAATAATATATTTATATTTATTATTTACCAAACACACTTGTAGTTTTTTGATTTCTTTACTACATTCAAATTATTCCCCATTTATGGGTTGTTTTCAATAAGACTTGGACACAAGTGTCAATAGTAATGTTTTATTTATTCTCATCAAGAACCTACACGCTACAAGTGATGGTCAAAAAAGAAATCATTAATTATTTACATTTTCAAGCATTACGGTTAATACAGCTTACCATTTAATTTTTTCGGTAATTTTTATTGGATAGTGTTAGCATATGATTGGATTGTGGTGGTTAGCATAATACTAACCACCTAAAAAATTTATTTTTTATTTTTTATTAACTGTGATTAGCGTTGTTGTCTAACACTGCTGATAAGTTCATACATCAGCAATATGTATTATTATTGAATAATTTTTTTTTTTTAATAAATTTAAAAATTGAAATCCAAAAATATGTTATGTATTTTAATGTACCATTTAAATTAATCAATCTTTGTGAGTCTATTATGTCACATAAGTAGTTCCTCATAACACCTTTTTTGTTGATTCAGTTCTGCATTTTAATTTTTGAAATCAGTCATGGTTAATATTTAATAAATTTGTTAAAATTACTCCAAATGTATTATATGTTAGAACTTATAAATAAAATAAGTAGGTATTAGGGATGGGCATGAAATCCCAATATCCAGATTTGAATCAAATTCTTATCCAGATTTATGGATTTGCTTTTTATGTAACTTAAGACTTACAATTATTTTAATGTATGGTAAAATAAATTATTTTATTAAAATGAAAATGAAAATTTAACAATTAATAATTTAAGTTTTTCTATATCACTAGTACTTAAAATGCATTCAAAATTTGGTATATTTATGTCCGAAATGTATGTTAAAGACTTAAAATATTATAAGTATATAAAAATGAGTCATTGAACAGCAAAAAACGAGTTGAATAWTTTGGGTAATTTGTGAAATCCGGATATGCCCATCACTAGTAGTTATAATAAATTTTATATTTAAAAAGGAAGTAAGTAGGTGAGCAGTGTTAGTAAATACTAAATTGTCCACTAGAAACATCAGATATATTAACACATCTTATATTATTGCAATTGATTTTATATTTTATTTTTTTGACATTAATTTAACTTTGCTTATTAAATACATTTTATGCCATAACTTATGAACAATGAAATGTAAATATATACTTTTTAAAATAAATGGCAGTCAGTTTATAAATATACCTAATACTTATACATAGGTAACTTATTATTAAATGTAATGAATACGAAAAGAAACATATTATTTAGTTTGGGATAAAATTAATACAATTCAAAGGCACGTCACAAAAATAACATCCCAAAATAAATTTCACTAAATACATATGATTTAATAAATTATMAAAATTAATAATAAGAAAAAACTAAACAATTCAAATAATAATAATAAAAAAGTTCAACTACCTATCAATGTAACCAAAAACCAACACTTAATAACACAAAAATTAAAAAAAAAAAAGTCTCGTCTTACATAGACTTTACTTTTAATTGTTTCATTCTTGGAGCCTTTTTCCTCTGTTGGCGTTTCATCTCTTTTTCCTCCCATTTTCGTTGCTTCTCTGGATCCTCCTAAATCATAAAATAGTAATGATGCAATATTACTAACATAAAAGAACAAAATACAAAAATTTTACTTTTAAAATTCGTTCTTTTTCCAGCTTTTTCTTTTCTTCTTTCCTTGCTGCAGCTGCTTCAGCTCGAGCTGCATGAGTAGTTTTTAAAAATGMTTCTTCAACACGCAGTCTATTTTTTTCCGCTTTAATTTTGGCCTCTTTACTAATTCTTAATCGTTTAATACGTTCCATACATTGGAATACAAATGACATTAGCGGGTATATAGTACTAATAGCTTCCTGAGGATCAGCATATTTATCAGTAGGAATAGTAAAAGTGAAAATCAATACTTTTTTCACTGCTGGTAACTTAGTAGGGACTGCAGTATCACTAGAACAAAGAAATACAAATATGAGTTAGTATTAATTTTATTAATATAGATATTGAACAGTACTAAATGCAACTGATGGTTGCATTTTTAATACATCATTTTTATTTTATTTTTTTAAATATTTATTTAAAAAAATATATATATATTACATGGAGCCATAATTTTTGGTTAATAATTGTTTTCATTTTCAATTGATTTTAATTAATTGTTTAAAGAAAAAAATAATATTTAAAAATGGGTGGAAAGTGGTTTCCACACAGCTTTAAATATTATGGCAATATATTATAATGTAGGCGAATATAATGAATATGTTAAATGTGAATTCAATGATATAAAAATATTGTAAAATGATTCAGAACAAAGATGGTCTGTCTGCCTATATAACTAAATATATTTCATAATATTATTGCACAATTAGACATTAGGAATATAGTGKGTTGTACAGTAAAAATGTATTTAAAAATATCATTGTGAATCAATAAACATAGTAATATAATTTAAAAGTTTCAAGAACCCGTTAAATTTTTAAATTACAACAAAATTACTAATTTCAACAGATAACATAATTTTAACATGAAATATCTATAAAAAAAATACTGCATTAAATACTTATGAAAACTTTGTTTTATATTTTAAATGAAATTATGAATACAAATATAGTAAATATGTCATGTATCTACATTTATTTTGTATTCATGAATTACATAAAAATAAGAAAGATAAATCGGGTACATATTCAATAACATAAAAATTTGAACTTCAATTGCTAATAATAATTCAATTTAACTTTCTGGTTAACATTTTTTAAAATGTAAAACAGATAAATGTAAGCAGAATTTTGAATTAAATTTTAAATTTTAGAAAAAAAATAAAAATTGTTATGAATTTTCAAATCAAAAATGAGCAAATTTGTTAAAATTCTAACTTTAAAGTTAAGACCTTTATAAAAATAATATAATCAATTTAAGTGAAAAAAGTAATTTATCACACATTCACATAATTATCCATAGCTTTATACTCATTGTATAATAGTTACAAACAGGGACGTATTTATACTAGGGCTAACCAGGGCGACAAATTTTGAACGGTGGAAAATTTTGAAGGGCGCCAAAATGTTGTTATATTTAGTGATTTAAAAAAAAATAATTTGATTTTATTTCTATTTTTTTATATACCATATAATATATAATACACATTACACATAGATCGCTTTTATTTTTATATGACATTATTTTTGTACTTAATATGTATACAAAATAAATGTAAAATAAAATTATAGCTGTATAAAAACAATTTATAATAAAGCTATAGGTACTACAGAGGCAAAAATAGATATAGAGGCAGAAATATTTTTGATTCGTGACTCTTGTTTATCTATTTTTAACAAAACATTGATATTTTTTCTTCGAGTTCAGTTTAGCGACAATCATCGACCGCCTATCATTGATTATTAGAAAATTATACATGTTTCGTTTAAAATAAAATTATTATTATTAGTGTTGTTTACAAAATGTGTCATCGTTCATAGACCATTTTTTGTTGTGTCTTGTACTGTTGTGTAGTTTTGTACTAACGTTCATCAATTACGAGTTACTTAACGTGTGTATAATTCATTACACCAATATGTTAAAGAAATAAGAAATATGTTTGATATATTATATGAAAAATTAGCTATAGAGAAGTCGGGCTTAACTTATTTGACTAATATACGAAGTAAAAAAGGAAATTACAATATGACGAAAGTCCTGGAGAAAAAGTACATTTTGATAGTCGCGAATCATTAAAAGTGAACACTTACTTCGTAATTTTTGGATAAACTTGATGCCGAATTGGAAAAAAGGAAAAAATCTTATGAAAATATAAGGGAAAAATTCTCATTTTTACTGAAGTTTACAACTCTTTCATCCTCTGAATTGGATTTGAGTGCAAATGAACTTTGTAAAATATATAATAATGATTTAGGTGAAAGTTTTTCTAATGAATGTCAACATTTGACATTTCCGTAACTATCTTTTAAGTATAGAACAAATTCCACGTACAGTATTGGAAATGAGTATGTTATTAAAGGAAAAGAATATAAGTGATCTATTTCCTTACATAGACATAGTTTCAAGAATTTTTTTATGCCTTCCAGCCTCAAACTGTTCTGCTGAAAGGTATATATATTTAATGAATTTGCTTGTGAAAAATCCCGCCATAAAAATTTTTAAGTACCTACATACTTCATTTTGCAGTACACATTTTGTAAATTTATCAATCAAATATTTTGGATATTTTTATTTTGAGTAATTGTTTTTTTTTTCTAATAAAGGATATTGTTGATGTTAAATGTATTATGTAACTGTATTTTTTGTTATAAATTGTACCTATACCTATATTTTAATAATTAATGCTGCAATATAATGATATTGCAGATGGAGGGCGGCAAAAATTATTAGCTCTGGGCTGAAAAAACTTGAAATACATCTCTAGTTACAAAGAGTAAGAGGCTGATTTCATAAATGTTTATATTTACTAAGCAACTAAATAGTTGTGCCAATTACGCCAGTTTTTCAATCTTGTTTTATAATTATGAACCACCTCTGCACACCATATTTGATTTCATAAAAAAAAAAACTTACTCTGTTAATTTAAGTCCTGAATATCTATCAGAAAAATGTAAACAGTCTATAACATCTGAGTATTTGTTAATATAGTTGACAGTCTTTGCATCCAATATGGATGAAGATACTTCGGCTAATTCACTGTGTACAGAAAAACTATCAGTCAAACCATAATTAGCTCCAGGCTTACGTTCTGGACAAAATACACTCTAAACACACAAAAAAAAAAATTAGAAATAAACAAAGTTTAAAACATTTAATAACTTCTAACAAGGTCAGCCATTTCTTTTGAATACCGAGCAGCTGTTTTTTTGGATGCAACACAAAACACAAATGTATCCATATCTTCTTTATTCATATCTACTTTAATATGTACTTCGTCTTTAGCAGGCCGCAAGAATTGATTTAACATGGAAGCTAAATCTTGTCTCTAAAATGTGTATAGATTAATATTTTGATGTCATTCACTAAAATGTAGTGATGTACATATTTATTTTATTACCTTAATAAATTTTAATTCAACCAACATTCCTTCACAGCAAGTGCGACCGCTGCACCATAATGTATATGAACTTTCAGTTTCTTTGATCAATCCACTGTTTTCTATTTCAATTTTACCATCGTCGCCTGCATTAATAATTAAAATTAATTATCATTGTGAAATATTTCTTATACTTTTATTATACAAACCAACTAAAGAAAAGTTATCTTCTAATAAAGATTTGTGTGTTTTAAACCATATATCTGCCAACTGTGCGTTTTTTGACCGGCCAAAGAAAAAATTTGCAAAATATGCAATAATACCAATAATCAATAGAGTTTCCACTATATAATTTGACCACTTAGTATGAAAAGGTACTGGTACAGAAGCAATGGTTATTTTAGGATCCTTGTCATCAACATGTAATCTTTCAGTATCAAAACCTTCGAATTCCTCTTCATCGTTAAAATGTTCAAATTCGTCATCATCCTATCAAAAAAAAAAAAAAAAA